CCTCCATTGCGGTGGAGGCTGAACTTTACGTGATCATAAAGGTTTTGTCATTTTACACTCACGTGAGGTGTTTACTAGGTCTCATAATCGAAACATTGCAGATTTTACACTATAGAGTATTCAAGATCTGCACTTCAAGAAAGTAGTGATTGCATCCGACTGTAAATCCACCCACGAAGCTTTAATGAAACTGAATGACTGGGCAAGATAACGAGTATTTACGGAACATATTCAAAGACTCAAGACTGGTTTTGAGTGTTATTCCTTTGAGCTCGAATCTCAGATGGCTAATACGATTGCGAGAGAGATGTTACTAGAGATGAGATTTTTTATTATTATCTTGTCCTTGGAGGTCCGGCATGGCTCCATGATCGCCTTGTTCGAGACTCAAGCTGAAGCATCATTTTTCTCTCTTATCGGGCATCGATGTTTTAGGCTTGTTTATATGAAAATATATATAAAAAAACGATTTAACCTTTTGTTTGAAGTTTTGGAAAATAATAGTAAAAGTATCATATTTTTTTTTAAAGAAGCTATTATAAAATGAATTTAGAATTTTTTTTCACAAACTATAAGTAACTAGGTTTATAACTCGCGCGTTGCGCGAGATTTTATTCTTAATTTTTAACAAAATGAATATTCAGTTTAGAAAAAAAAATTCCAAAAAATCAATATGAACATTTATATAAATACAAACTTATTTTAGCAAACTATTAGAACACAAATATTTTTTATGATAAATATATTTTTTTAAACCAATGAATACATAGGCGCCACGTGATTATAAAAATCAATTGAACCTAATAGAAAGAGAAACCGATATTGACAACCATCGCACAATCCTTTATATCAAAGATAGAGTTCCTCCCTATTGTTGTCCCGTGAGAACATCTCTTTAGAGACTTGGATGTTAATCATTGACTCAATCTTATAAGGAATGACATCAAAAATATTTTACTTTCATCTTGTGCATATATCTTTCTAAGCTTTAGTGAAATTCTCTTAAACAGTTATTCACAATCATTTTTTTGTCATCTTCTAAGGTAGCAACAAAATGAAACGTAAATTAGTTCTTTAAATAGGTTAACAAATAAAGGAGTTACGATAATTTTATAAGTTAAATGAGTGATTAAAAAAATGAGGTTGAATTGAATGTAAAGTTTTTTTTATTGAGTTACAAACTTTTTAATAAAAAAAAAAGTTTCTTCATATTTTATGAAATATACAACTCTTAAAAATAACATAGATATTTTTTCTTTTGACATTTTAGATATATGGTTCCGTCAATTGATTTTTACTAACAATTTGAACTATCAAATTCATAAATACGTTTTACTTTTTAAACATGTGT